GAATTAGTGGGGTTATTTGCCTTTGAGGATTTTGTTGGTAGAGTTATTTGATATTAGATGATGTGCGAGAATGATGTTTGTGAGATAAGTTTTGCACCATTGGATCAAAATAGATAAAAAAAATTAAATTAATTTTGACTGTTGTTTTTTTTATAAATTAAGAAATTCCTTTCCTAACTCTAATATTAGATAAATATAAAAATACTTGCTCAAAAAACATAAATAGAGGACACACAGCTCCTCCAGTACATTAAATTAGATAAACTTGTGAACCTTTCAAATTTTGGGCCCTTCTTTGTTGGTGCGGCCTAAAATCCTGGCTTCATTTGCTTTACAATTGAGCTAGACCTAGGTGTGAATTAGTGGGCATATTTAACATTGAGAATTGTATTGGTGGAGTTGTTTGTCATGTAAAGCCGCGTAATGAAAATGATGTTTTTGAGTAAAAAAAAAAAAAATTTGAGATAAATTTTGTATCATTGAATTAAAATAGATAAAAATTAAATCAATCTTGACTGTTGTTGTGCTTTTATAAGTAGAGAATTCAATTTCTTAATTGAAATATTTGATAAATATAAGGGTACTTGCCCAAAAAAACATAAATAGAGGAAACACAGTTCCAGTACATTAAATCAGATAAAATCAAAAGTCCACGCAACACCAAATTAATTTATTCAAAGAGAGGAGACATATAAAAGAAGGTAGAAGAGTTTGGGAGTTGAGACAAGTCGTCTTATGGACCAGACAATGGCAGTGTTTCTGGATCACTGACTCCTAACTTGCTTGAGTTTTTGAAATCAAATACCGACTCAGAGTTAGGTTGGGAAAAATATATATTCCGAGTTCGGTATCAATTGTTTTTTTGGACAATGTATCAATGAGATTCACAATTTTTCAGGATTGATACTAAACATGTTGGGATCGATCCCCAAAACTTGGTATCAATCCAATTATTTACAATCAAATCTATTGAATTGTAACTTTTAGTATCCTCCTTTCAATACAGTAAAAATCACTTTAGATTTACAGCAAGCCAAGAAACTCTTTAGATTTACAGCAAGCAGGCTGAGTTTTGGGCAGCTCATAAACCTATTAAATTGGCAGTGGAATTGGGTTACAAAAAAATTGTCCTTGCAGGGTGTTCCTAAATGGGTTGTTGAAAGAATAACTAAGAGGCAGTGTCAATTATTAATTATGGGTCATTTTATTGATCGATTCCATGTTTTGGCTCATGGTTGTTCTGGTTTTTCAACTAGTTGGGTCCTTAAGGAGGGGAGTACAATTGCGCATTGTTTAGCTAAGTTTGCTATAAGCTGTATGATGGTGGTGCATGGGAGGAGAAATTGTAATGATCATGTTGCATGGAAGGAGGAAGCTCCTGAGTTTATATTACCTTCCCTCCAAGCAGATTTTGAGTCAATCTTGAAAGTTGGCTTAGCTCCTGAGTTTATATTACCTTCCCTCCAAAAGCAGATTTTGGGTCAATCTTAAAAGTTGGCTTAGGAGCAGAATTGGGTGAATTAATTCGAATAGACTACGAAGCATCAAAACATTCATCAGAGAAATCAGTTCCAAAGCATTCCACTTAGATCTTTAAAAAGTTATAAAAACAAAAAGAACCAAAGATTAAATATACTTTTGGTCCTTAAAAATACTCGATTGCAGCTTCTTATGACTCCGTTAAGAGGAAAAAAAAACTCATTTGCAATCCATTTGTAAAGTTGGGCTTCTGTTATGCTAAATAGTAGTATATGATTTCGAGCTCAGCTTAGAGAGTTCACAAGACTTGTAAAACAAACCAGACAAATTCAAGCTTCATTGTATTGTAGAGCTTACAAACAATTTCTAGTCCAAGTTGAACCACCAATCTCAACCGAGAAACAAGAATGAACAAATAAAATAGGAAAGATAACCATTCTTCTAACAATCTCAACCGAGAAACAGGGCTCCCAGAAAAAAAAAGTAAGGCCACTTTGAGGTCTCGGCAATGGTATTAGTATGTGCAGATGTGTGTGTGTGTGTGTGTGAAAGAGAGAGAGAGAGAGAGAGAGAGAGAGAG